TCCGGGCACGTCTGGTGCTCGAGAAGGACCTCACTCTGGGCGTCGCACTTCACTTGGCCGAGTCAGCCCTCACCACCGAAGCAGAGTCCCGACGTCTAGACCGGGGAGATCCACGCTGCGCTGCTCGTTGAAAAGGTGAAGCCGTCCACTTCTGCACCTGTCAAGTGTGTTCGATCCGGCAACACCAACCACTCGGAAATTTCCTGCCGCTTCCGAACTGAGTCGTGCAATGTGTGCGGCAAGCAAGGCCAAATTGCGAAAAAATATGTCGATCAGTGGAGCGCCCCAAGACATCTGCCAAGAAAAAGGAACAGGTGAAAACAATCACCAACGCACTCGTCACTCCAGAATCAGATGGAGAATTTGTCACTTATATTATTCAAGGAACACCCGTAAGGTTGCAGGTCGACACAGGATATAGGCTGACACTCCTCGACACGGACACGTGGCGGAAGATAGGGAAACCTAGCTTGCAGAAATGCGAATACAACCTTTTCTGCTTCATCCAGAAGAAAATCACGGACGGTTCAAGGCCGGTGCTTGCTTCAGGTCACGATTAGAGAACGCTCCGAAGAGATAGAAGCATTGGTGACTGACAAGCGACACACCAACCTGCTAGGAAAAACGTGAATCCACCGGCTGAAGATCGACCTAAACAAGTTGTTTATTTGATCTGTGGAACTGGAAGTCGAAGTCTCGCTTCAGACAATGTTGGCAACATTTCCGACTTCCATCCTCAGTTCAAGCCTGACGCGAAACCAAAGTTCTTCAAGCCCCGCCCAATTCCGTTTGCTACGCGAGAAGCAGTGGAGAAAGGCTTGGCCAAGCAAGTAAAGGACAACGTTCTTACACCCGTGGACTTCTCGCAGTGGGCCACTCCAATTGTGGTCGTCCCAAAGTCGGATGGATCGGTTCGAGTCTGTGGTGACTTAACTTTCACCGTGCATCCTCAGCTCGGCATAACGCAGTACCCACTGCCACGTCCAGAACGTTTCACTACACTAAATGGAGGCAACAAATTCACGAAGCTGGACTTGTCAGAAGCATATCTTCAGCTGGAACTCGATGGAGAGGCAAGAACGGCTCTCGTGATCAACACACACAAAGGTTTATTCCGATTCAACCGGATGCCTTCTGGAGTCATCTCCGCCCCAGCACTGTTCCAGCGCACGATGGACCAGGTAACGCAAAGGCTCGAAGGCGTTGCCTGTTACCTCGATGATATCATCGACACTGGGAGAGATACTCCTGAACACCTTCGGAGTCTTCAACAAGTGCTCCAGTGGCTACAGGAATACGACTTCCGGCTCAAGACGGAAAGATCCGCCTTTCTTGAAGAAAAGGTCGAGTACCCCGGGCAAGTCGTTCCCGCCGAGGGCTTCACGCATTCCATGAAAAAGGTCTCGGCTAGCCTGAATATGCCAGAGCCCAAGAACATCAGCCAGCTAAGATCTTTCGTCGGCATGGTGCAGCATTACGGCAAGTTCCTTCCGAACCTTGCTGATAAATGTGCGCCGCTGAACAAGCTACTGAGAAAAGACACCGCCTGGCAATGGAGCTCCGAGTGCCTAGATGCGTTTGAAAACATCAAACAAGTGACGGCTACGGAGGCCCTAGTCCACTTCAGCCCTGATCTGCCAATTTACCTCGTGGCGGATGCGTCGTCGGAAGGCGTGGGCGCGGTGATATACCACAAGATCAATGGCAAAGAACACCCCATAGTACATGCTTCCAAGACACTGAATTCCTCAGAGTGTGCTTATGCACAAACAGAGAAGGAAGCACTTGCCATCATCTTTGGAGTCCGCAAATTTCACTAGTACCTTTGGGGACGCAAGTTTGGGCTCTATACTGACCACAGCCTCTGACAACCATCGTTGGCCCCATGAATGGAATCCCCGTGACATCCGCGAACAGACTTCAGCGTTGGGCCCTTATACTAATGAACTACAGCTACACAATTGAGTACGTGCCAACAGCAAAGTTCAGAAACGCTGATGGACTTTCGCGGTTCGCGTAAGGTCACGACGAGGACTTCGACAAGGAAATGGCAAGCGGAGTTTTCACCGTCTCCTGTGATACAGAACATGTCTTTGCGCTTCACACCCATTCTGTCCTCTCCCATGTACAACGGTACATCAGTCAGGGCTGGCCAGAAAAGGTGACGGACTCCGACCTCACGCCATTCCATAGAAAAAGGTCGGAATTAAGCATCGTCAACGGTTGCATCCTATGGAATTCGCGAACCGTAGTTCCGCGCAAATTCCAGCACCAAGCAATGGAACTTCTTCATGAAGGACACGTGGGACAAACAAAAATGAAGATGTTGGCACGGTCGTACGTGTGGTGGCCACACGTCGACAGAGACATTGAGCGCACGACGCAGCAATGCGAGCCCTGCAGCAGTGTTTGCGACAGCAAACCACACGTTCCTCTCCACCGCTGGGAAGCTCCGGAACTACCGTGGCGGAGACTTTATGCTGACTTTGCACAGCTAGATCAACAGAGCTATTTTATTATCATGATGCGTTCAGCAGATGGCCTGAGGTTGTGCCGGCGAAATCCATAGCAGCGGCAGATACCATCGACGCTTTGCAGGAGATTTTCTCTCGTCAAGGCCCGCCACCACAACTTGTCACCGATAATGGGCGACAGTTCATCAGCACGGAATTCAAAGAATTCGTGGACAGCGGCGGAATTACTAATTTGTTTACCCCGCCGTATCACTCCAAGTCAAACGGACAAGCAAAGAAATTTCTAAAGACATTGAAGACTGCTCTTCGACGTTCTTCTGGACGAGAGAGGAAGGCCGCCATCCGAGACTTCTTGCTCAAGTACCGGATCACCCCCCACACCTCAACGGGAGAACCCCCGTGTCAACTGCTCACGAGCCGGCCCTTACGGACGCTTCTCGAGTTATTGAAGCCTTCCAAGGTACGGACCCATGCCAAAACGGCAAAGAAAGACGAGGGAATCGCTAGCTTCATAATCAAGCAGAAAGTGTGGGTAAAACATCCTCTCCACAAACAACACTAGATAAAAGGCGTTGTCACAAAAACAATTGGCAACGTCATCTACGAAGTTTCAGATGAAGATCACAAATCCCGTCGGGTCCATGCAGATCACCTGAAACCACGGTTGACATATGACGATCCCGAGACTTCAATCTTCCCAATGAATGTGCCAGGGCCTTCTCAGGTTTACACCCAGCAGGAGGCCATTGACAGACAAGTTACTTCGGGGTCTCCATTGCAACCAGACTCCAGTAGGAGATACCCCACCCGCAGCCGCCTCAAGCCGGACCGTTACAAGCCTTCCTAAGAGGGAAGGAAATGTGGTGACTGCAAAAGACCATCGTCTTCTTTGTCAGGAGAGCACGAGCTGGGACACGGGAGCTCGTGCATTCCGTTCTTCGGCGAATTGGAATCTTGGCAGCTGGTCATGTCCCTCTGACCTGCTGTATTAGAATGAACCCTCACTACACCCCTCGAACGGGCCTATTACACCTATTCTTGGAAGGGCTTAGCCCAAAGGACTCTGATCTGAGAGGGAGATACACAAAAAAAGGCAAACTGAGGGTACTGATTTACAATTCTGGCATATTCGTCCGCAACTTCTATGTGAAAAATAACTATATTAGTACCACGGAACAAAACAGCCATGAAATCATCACACCATGAATCACGGACTCGCCGAAGCCTTCATCTGAAGGGTATTGACCCACATCTTCAACTTTGAGTGTGTTCTACATCACACAAAATAACTTACTAACTTACAAAACCATATTAAATAAGTTATTCAAAAGGTTCAGAGCATTTGTTAGAGCATAACAAAAAAAAAACAAAAAAACATGGAACATTAAAACGCACAAAAACAAAACAACATTCCGCATCAAAAAACACAATCGAAGAGCGCAGGAAATGCAATAGCTATAGAAAGTGACTTTATATCGCAACTCTTTTCTTCATGTTGATTCAGCGACACAACTAACCCACTGGCGGCCTGTTGAGAAGCTCGGATTGCATTTGACGTAATATATTGGATATGGCCATACGTTTCCTATAAAGCGACGTCAGGAATTTCTCTAAATTTGACATTGAATGGGGTTACCCTTCAGCGCTAGTTCGCTTAAATGCCAACTCTTTTATCAGGTACTCATCTGGGTTAGTTCGAAACGATATGACACTACACGAAGAACAGACGGCTCAAGGGCCCTGTCGCCTTGAATTTTTTTTCAAATCCAACCTAGCACGGTGCTCTTTCGAATTTAGAAGCTACATAATATAAACCAGTAGACTTTTGGACATTTATCACGACTTCAGCAAAATTAGCCTTTAGCCAGAATATATATATTGACTTAGCCTTTATTCAATAAACATGTTGGCGTTGGTTTCGTGTTTTTTTTTTCTCCTCTTCTTTTTTTTATATTTCATCCGTTAGTTTTGCAATGGGAAATAAGAAAGTCTCTCACTTTCAATTAAATATATATTATAAGGCAATTGGAGGTGCTCCAGCAAAACATTTGTGCATATTGAGAAGTGATTTTTTTTTTATTTTTAAGTTGGAAACTTATCTTTGGTAGCAATGAAATAACACTGTTATCGTTTCTAGTCTTAGTTATGCCACTCTTATGTGAAACATTATAAATGCGTACACCCAAGTTCAGAATGGAGAAACTTGCATTTGGATGTAATATATTAATGCGTGTATCAAAAATATGTTAAAGCATGCCTCACACCTTGCGTACTATCACAGAGATACTATAATCAAATATATATTTCTCGAAACATCTTTTTAGCCGACTATTTTAAAAATTTTACATCAATGAACTGACGTTAAAATACACATAGAAATGCGCAGCCCCAAGACTGAAACTGAAGAAAAAATGGCGAAGTAGCACATAAACGTGTCTTTGTATCTATATAAATGTCAGCACAGGGTAACCATGCGTTATCTAATCTATGAACGTACGCCATTTTCTTTCTTTTTTATTAATCTAGAAGAAACTAAAAAATAGGTTGTATCACTTCTTGCTGTCCACAACTACAAAATATCTCGATGTAAATGCTACAATTTATGAACTTGTAGAGGAAGTAAAATACGACAAATACAAGAACTTCGATATTGTTATCTTGTTAACAGAGTAAGTGCCTACTATATTACTTTCATAATTTGTATAGCAATAATTTTTGGTCGCAAGTGGGAATCTCTTGAAATAGTTTAAAGTTTATCAGGTTTTCTTATCGAACAAGAATCCCTAAGTATATGCTTCCTCTCGAAATAGTAAAGCCAACAGCCAGTTCCGAGCGTGGTTCCAAGCTATTGATAACCCTACTGATTAAACAAAATTATATATGTCAAACTAATTTACAGGAAATAATTGTATTCTTAAAACTTGACATGATGCAAATAGAAATCTATTGGGATATTTTATTTCTTATCAATAATTTTTAAAAGTCGTCTTTGAAACCTGGGAATAAAAATATAGAATACTCATTATTGTAAGAAAACGTTAAAAATACAAGGTGCGCATAGAGCTAAAAAGCGGGTACGTTAGACGTTGCTTTATGTAAGCGTATTAATTCCCTTGTCGTACGTAGTTCTCCTCCCAACACACCCCCTTGCCCCCAACCCCACCCCCGAAAACAAAGTTCCATACAGCATTTTTTTTAAGCTGTGTGCAAAATTTCTCGATTCAATGACATGGCAATTCCTGAAACAACAGTACCAAAGCCCCACGTTGAGAATCCGTAGAGTCACAAAATCCGAGAGTTTTAAGCGTATTTTTAAGTCAAGTCCAAATTGCTTGTGGTAGTAAAAACAAATTAATAGATGACCGCGGGCGCTGCAGGCTCTTTCGTGTAAAGCAAGGTTGACTTTGTCCACACCAACACACAGACGACTTTGCGACCAGCGTTCCAATAACGCGCGAATCCTTGTGCCATGTGTTTCTATGTCGAAATCGCATCGATCCAGAGGACCGGTGTGACTAGTTGTCTCGTGACAAGTAGTCAGGTAGCGAGTGGGATTGTGACGAGAGGGTTGGTTCTCAAACTATTTATAGTACGGATGACATCACAAGCAAAAAAGGTGAACATTCCTCACTGCATCCCCCCTCGAGGTTGTTCTCGGGCTTGATAATTTCTGATCCAGTTAAGACAGATCAAGAGATGGCAGTAATACTACCTTTGGCTTTACTATAACGGCTTCAATACTGCGAAAGAAATTACAGTAATTAACTTACTTTCTGCGCTAATTAGTAATCTCATTGCGCTTAGTCCTCATAATTTTAGAGCGCGGCTCTTAGGCGTACGTTTCCAGCTTGAGCGGCGTCGGCGTCACCGTTGGCGTAACCGCGCAGTGCAATATAGGTAAATTGCCCGCTGAATCTAGCGGAAAAATTTCCCCGCTAAATCTGGCGGAAAACTTTCCCCGCTAGATCTAGCGGCAAAATTTCCCCGCAAAATCTAGCGATAATATTTCGCCGCAAGATCTAGCGGAAAAATTTCCCCGCTAAATTTAGCGGAAACATTTCCGCGCTAAATCTAGTGAAAAAATTTCCCCGCTAAATCTAGCGGAAAATTTTTCCCTTAAATCTAGCGGAAAAATTTCTCCGCCAAATCTAGCGGACACATTTCCTCGCTAGATCTAGCGGAAAAATTTCCCCGCCAAATCTAGCGGAAAAATTTCCCCACTAAATTTAGCGGAAAAATTTCCCTGCATAGTCTAGCGGAAAAATTTTCCCGCTAAATTTAGTGGGGAACGTTTTCCGCTACATTTAGCGGAAAATGTTTCCCGCTGCATCTACCGGAAAGATTTCCCCGCTAAATCTAGCGGAAAATTTCTCTAGGGTGTCAGGTGACCCCCCAAGCTCACGTGACCTCGGGGTGTCACGTGACCCCGAAGTCACGTGACACCCCCGCCCCAGGTCACGTGACCTCGGGGGGGGGGGTCACGTGACCCCCCCCCACGTGGACCTCCCCTCCCCCAAGGTCACGTGACCCCACCAAGGTCACGTGACCTCGGGGTGTCACGTGAACCCCAAGGCCACGTGACCCCTCCCCCAGGTCACGTGACCCCCCCCCCCCCCGACGTCATGTGACCCCCCGAGAACACGTGACCCTCATTACCCTTCCCTCCTCCTTCTCAAGAGCTGCGCTCTAATTCGGGGTTACAGAGAGTTGTAAACGGCTTTCACTTTATTTTTAATGCTATGAAGATCTATTGGGCTGTAATTAAGCTTTAAGTTCTGAGTAAGCTATAGTGATACAGATATGTTGCATATGTTTAAGCCAAAAATTGTTTGCAACAAAACGACAACTGTCCTGACAATTGTTCAGCAGGCGGCTATGACAAAAAGCCGGCGAAGAGAGCTGTACGTTTTGTAAAGCTTATATTCTAGTGAGCTCGAATTCATATACGATGGAAAAACTTCACGTTATTTAAAAAAAAAGTTTAGTTTTTTTAACTGGACAAGGTGTACCGTTCAAGAGAGAACGAGCGAAGTGCATAGCTACAAGTAACAAACAATGAGTCAAAAATGAATTTCATATCTTTATTTATTGGCTGAGGTACCTGCTACGCAATCTAACATTACAGTCGGGTGAATACAACAAGCACACATGAATCCATAGTGAAAACGCATTGATAAAAAAAGGCGACATTCGACATGATTCTGACAATGTCTGAGAGAAGGGAGTTTCCATCACGACTAGTTTCTGCACTAACAGCGTCCGAGTACATCACCCCTAAAAGGAACCTACATTTTAAGGCATGGATATTTCTATCGGATGTAGGATGGCAGTTCGACAAGTTGACCTCATTGCGAGAAACGTTCGGCACTATTTTTTTTCGTCCGCTAACGAACCGGAAGTTGCGCTGCAGTGGATTGGCGTTTGGAAACCCTTCTCGAAATGCGCCAGTTTTAGCATGCTGTTCAGTGTATTGTACAGCTTTTTAAAATGGCTTCAATGTATTTTTTAACTCCATAAAGAAGAAAAAAGGTTCGAGAGCGGTAAACTGTAAAGAAAACCATTGTTGTTATTCATAAGTCGTTGGTACGAATGGGGCTGGAAGGAAGGAACATTTTGTCCTTCCTATAAACGTAGCGGTTCCGGCAGCGGCTCGGGTCGATCATACGATTCATGACTTAAGCGCAAGTCTTCACGAAGGACGACCATGCAATGGACCTTTCTCCAGTAAGTTACTGCGCATACGTACACCCCCTCGTCTGGCATCGCTTCCCGTTGTTGATATTTCGCAGGACATAGTTCCCGTCGCTCAATATATTCAGCACCGATAGTGGTGCGTATTTCGTCTTTCTTTCTCATTCTCGTTTGAATATACGCTAGTATGAGTCATAAAAGGCAACGAAGATTAATAGAACAGCACGATGCCAATGTTTACTGACAGGCGAAGATAATTTACGCTGGCCTTTTTTGTAATTCGTCGACAACTCCGCAAACCGCGCTCGTTATTTTAAAAAGGTCCATTCTCCTGGTAGGTTAGGTTCCCACAAAGAGCTATCGCTGTGAAAATTTTCACTTCTAAAAGCGAGGAGCTTCTCAGCCTTCTTTCCTCCGCCAGCTCTGCAATGCACCTGCTTTGGGTCCTCGTGTTATAGATACCAGGGAGCGGCTTTTGTAAAAAGCTTTGTTTATTAACTACAAGAAATGGTTTATTGAAAGAAAATATTTTGTGCACAGAAAAATGAAAACATATAATGTGATTATTCTTAAATGTAACTGATCATTTCATCGAAGAAAAATCGATACATGGGAGGGTTTGAGGACATAAAAGAGATTTGAGAAGAAAAGCCGAAAACGCCATTCCAACCTAAATTGGCCACTCAGCCGTGTTTTAAAAAAAGAAACATAAAAACTACAAATTGCCGCTAACATTCGAGAGAGTTGCATAAAATGAGACCACCACCAAAGTGTAGTGCGTCTGTTGGACGTACATGCCTTTTCAGGTACCCCTTCCAACCTCGTAAGTAGCTATTAAAATTCAATAATTAAACAAATATAAAAAACAGTTTTTTTAAATGCTGTTTCGGAAGCATGCCCTTGAATAAACTAAAAAAACATATATTAGCTCTTTCTGCTTACATACTGGTTAATCGGTTTAAAGCATTTCTCTTTTGCCGTTTTTGCATTACGTCAATTATGCAGATTTATATTTATGAATAAGACGCTGTAGACGTTTCCGAAAGCGCAACTGTTGAAAAGTGTATACTCAATAAATGTGCACTAACCATCATAGAACTATCACCAGAAAAGCACATTTCTACATGCAGGCGAAAATTGGCAATACAAGCTGGGAACAGGATGGATACATCACTAGAAGGTATGCAGCGTTTAACCATCCAAAATAAAGACTACGTACTGTTGGGGCAGGGTTAGAATGCAGAACCTCATTCGCCTGCAGCACCGTTTTGTTCTTTTACTTAGTTTTGGCTGCGCATGCGACGACGTGGCATCAAGATTAGCGCTGGGATCGAGATTTCATCGAATTAAGGTCCGAGACATCAATACGTCCAGGTCATTGACAATCGTTTTATAAACGCCTGTGAAGCATCCACATGAGAGGTTCGAAGAACGTCAGACACGCGGCTTAGGGAGATGGTCTTGAACTCAGCCTCGGCATCCTCGAGATTAGTTATCCCCTTTTCGCCTCTGCTTGAGGAAGCTCATTTAATATAATTCACCTGACATCCTGACAACGTTATGAGCTTTAGTTTGACTTTTTGCACATCGAACGATGTCTGTTCGGTGTCTGCTTGAAAATTTCTTTCAAGTTCAAGCGCGGGACGTCCTGATGGCGCCCTGAGTCTTAACTCTAAGTTCTCGACTCGAATCGACGCGTATCCCACGTCTGTTTGGGAACGCACATTAACGTCCAGCATGAGATGTCCCGATGACGTCTGGCGCTTTAGTTGGACGTACTACACATCCCACAACTTCGATTCAGCGTCCACTTGGGCCGGTTTTTCTTTGCGTCAGACAGGTCCAAGAAAAACCTCAGTTCGACGCAGGCTGACTCTTACCGCCTATACAGTGACGTATCGCTAATATGGATACCTCCGATATATCCAAAACGCGTTCATAGCGTGAGTTGAGCACAGTAAAGAGTCTAAAATTCGTGTTTTTACCACTTTCGCCCCCAAATATCTTGTGTAAGATGAAGAGGGGTAGGGGACCTTTCTTGGTCTTCTACTGATGTTCTACAATCCTCGAACTGCGAGGGCCACTCGAAACCACTGGCGCGCCTTACTTCAGTTTCGTCGTAAGCCTTCCGAGTCATTTCAAGTGTTTTTGTTTTTGATTTGCCAAATAATTTGACGCAGAATCGATATTAGCTCTCGCCCTGGTTCGTGGTGTAAGCTGAAATCCCCATGATTATCTCGCACGTGTTCCGCAAACCCCGGGTAGCACAGCTCCAAGTGTTCACAGAACGACGCCATTTCCCATAGCAAGGCATGAATGTACACGCCTTCGACAGCTGCATGTGCAGCTGTCGAAGGCGTGTTGCCTTTTGCTTTTAAACTACGAATCTAGTCCCACAAATTTCGGATGGCATCTTATATTTAGTTTGGGTCTGGAAGCAGGTTCGCGACTCTTTATAGTGCGCGTTTGACTTGTGAGCCTTTTCTCGATAACCTACCGAGGTGTAGCTAACGATTGATGTAAATTTCGCCAGTTTCCTCTAGACGCACTGGACGTTATTAGAAGCTGGACCTGGACTTATTTCAACTTGAACACGTTTCGAAGAGGCTGAGGTAAAAGCGTGCGGATATCATTTACATTTGCTGTTTACTATATCAGAAATTAGACCCATACTCTTTGCAAAATAGAGTGAGTCTGACTCCAACTTTTATAGAATTGTGTGCAGCACATGGGGGCTAGGACAGTATGCCGGATTTTTTCTAAGCTAATTTATCAAGATATTCGGATAATGATACGGCGAAGAACATGACCACTACAATGTACACGGTCTCTTTCTGCTTGTGGCAGATGAAGATTTAAGGTTTTCCAGCCTCGTTAACGTGAACGCATTTCAACTCGAAAACGATATTAATTGGCTGGAAAGTCTCCTGCATCCAGGCAGCCGTCTCCACAGCAGCTAGGTGAATGGTTACACGATGCCCAAAATGGGAATATCGTAATCCACGTACGTTGAACGGGGCGACCGGGTGTCTTGTCATCACAGGCAAAGTTCAGAAAACGTAAGCACTCAGAAATGAAAGGATGTTTGCTTTACATAATGTCGCTACGCAAAATCATAAAAGAACTGCAGCGGCGGGGGCATGTTTTGTGGAGATAAATTCAGTTCCAGAGAATATGTCTTTGTAACATCCTCTGTATCATGCAAGATAAAAACGCGAGTAGCTTCTGGCATAGCCAATGGCTCTAGTCTCCCGACCTTGACACATTAGTGAGTTGGAAAACTCTCAAATTATTTTTCATTGCTCAAAACATTTATTCACTATTACTTGTTTTTTTTTACTTCTGTCCTTGATATGACTGCATAATAAGAATATTGTTCATCATTAAAAAAAACTGTTATTCAGATACCTTCACTGTTCATTTTTCGTACTGGACTCTTGTAAATCTCTTCATTCAGATGCCCTTGAAGTATACAAAACTTCAGTGAAGTGAACTGAACACATTGCTATGGTTCGGCTATTCTCGTCATCGCCACAATAGGGCAGGAGACACTACACGAATGCATGTAGAGGCATTGATGGTCACTAGCCCATATCAAGAGTTGAAGCAGTCCTCATATCCAGTGATGAACCGCATTCAAATATCGTCACCGCTGGGATTGCCAAGACTGACGACAGAACCCTGGGCATCAGATTGTTGCAAATGTCAACATTGCGATTCCAACAACTACGTCATCTTGTTTGGCTAATGAAATAAAAAAAAATAAACATTCGTTTTAATTCCTGAAATTGCGCGGCTACAAAGATGCTTCTTGGTCGGCGGCGTCGCATGGGGGTATACTTGGGAACTCAAAGTTCAAGTAAGATTTTGTAACATGACAAAATATCCCTACCCAATATTTGTGTATGGCCCATTTAAAATTATCACATGGATGAACTATGTATGACCATGTGCTATATTTTATTAATCTCTAAACTGACAGCTCGGTGTGAGCTACTCACTCGCCCGACCTATCCATATGACCCATTTCATCACCTGGTCCTGCTGTCTGTGGGTGGATATGTGTGGGAGCACGGTAACGGATGAAAAGATAGACGCATCCCTGGCCAAGCGATCGCGTAGCTTCCCTCGTACTGTCACTTTACGGCCAGCGAGTGTAATCGTGGGCAGCGGCAGCCGTTCCCGTTCAAAACAACAAGTACCAAGTGCCGACTCTGTCACATAGCGTACATTGAGCCGACCAGAAATTTCCGATTTGGTGCCTCCCCTCGCAAGCGTTGAAAACCTATTTGAAGCACGGAATGTCATATTTGGTATTCACGAAGTATGCTATAATTTTGAACACGTACATTTCGTCATCTAGGTATTGACCGCTGCCTTCGATGTTATATTTATGCAGCAACGTTAAAAGCAGGCTATCATTATAGTATACATGTGGTATGTTAGAACAAGGTTTCTGCGGAAGAGCTTAGTAGAAAAATAAAATTGCACTCGATAAAATTAGGCTAAGGTTCTGGTTTCTATAGCACAAGCGTTTTCAAATATTATCGCATCCAAGTGTTTATCTCCGCAGCTCGATGATCCGATTAGGAGCGACGCTCACTTCTGCATTTTTAACATGATCCCGATTGCTTGAGTTAGGAGAATGCGCAGATAAATCCGGGATTGTAGGAAAGTCTGAGCTTGAATTATAACTGGCCGGGATGAGAATATGGTTGACTGAAAGAGCTCCCAGAATATGTTTCTCTGATTTCAAGATCATTGGATATACCCCCGGGAGTCGGTCGTGGCCACCAAAATAACAAATTGAGGAAAGTCGTGAAATCGCATGTTACCATCTGAGCGTATGCCTCCTCATCTGGTCAAGCGACCTCATTTTTAAATGATGAGTACTATATATTTTGCATTTTTTTAGGTGTGGCCTTTACAGGCTCTGCGTGCACGAAATCAAGAGTAGGAATTGTAGAAGACACTGGCTTTACTCTCCATGGACTTACCGCCTTTGCGCATGAAGTCGGACACATGTAAGTTTCACAGGATTCAATATCTATGCAAAGAGAGTTATAGAAAATAAAATGCAAAATATTATGCCACCTTCATGGGCCACGGAAAAGTAGGTGCGTTAAGGATAAGTCTATCATTAGGAGTCGTTTTCAAACGTGTGATATCCTGTTTAGCTATCCAGCCTGGCCAATAACGGCAACTGCAGGCGGAAGAAACGGATGGAAGAGCTAGCTAAAAAAATCTTAGTTGAAAAAACCGTATCTCGTTTGTAGAAAAGACGTCCGAGCTCCACGGTGTTCTGGCTCGAACTGTTCGTTTTTATTCTCGCGCCTCGGGAAGCTCGCGCAGCGAGTTTAAAAAAAAAAAAAAAGAACAATTATTTCATTTCTCGGAGCTAGCTCCTATTAGCGGCAAGATGTTTTGGTGGCACCCTCCTACGGTTCTCCCTTGTGACGTCATTACCTTGCAAACAACAAGTTCGATGGCGTTTGTAAATAGCATGGTGGAAGCTTGAAATCATTGCGCTCTCAAAGGAACAGTGCCAACACCATCAAAATTAAAGTTCTTTCATTCCTCTTATTTCCGTCGATGATAAATCGTTTTCTGACGTTATAGTCAGCGTTCGGCCAATCGTGGAAGGCCGACCACAGCGACGCTTTCAGTCGCGCACGTCGCCAATAGGGCTTCCCCCTGGCAGCATGGAGCACGGTAATACAAATAAAATTGTAGTTGATCCAAGGGTGGCAATAAGAAGAAGAAGGGTGTTGGGAGTTATGTGGCCCATGAAACAGTTCTTGCTTTCTTGGTTTCCTGGGGTGTCACAAGTTGCTCCGAGTATGAAGGATGAGAACTTGAGTCATGAAATGCGGGTTTGATTCGGTGCATGGCGACGATTTCTCGGTGTCCGTGAATGTCAAGAGTCATGGTCTTCTCGGTGCGCTCGAGTATCTTAAAGGGTCCCTCGTAAGGTGGCGTGAGACCTTTCTTCTTAACTTCTTTTCTGACGAATGCGTGGGTGGAAGGTTTCAATTCCTGACTTACGAAGATCTGAGAATGGGGCATCCAAGGTTGTGTGGGCTTCAGTTCTTGCATGAAGTGCCTCAAGTCGTCTAGGTACACTTGGTCTGGAATCGTTGGAGTGCACTTGGTAATATCGAAAAATTCTCCAGGGGGTCGGAGTGGCGATCCATAAACCAATTCAATCGAGGTGCATTCCAGGTCTTGTTTGAAGGCAGATCGAATGCCGAGAAGCGCGAATGGGAGATGATCGATCCAGTTGAGACGTCCATCTCGTGCCGTGATTGCGGCCTTGAGCTGTCGGTGTAACCTCTCCACCATGCCATTGGCTGACGGGTGGTATGAGGTAGTGTGCACGTGGTGCGTGTCGAGGAGCTGGGCTAAGGCAGCAAACAGCGAACATTCGAATTGTCGTCCCCGGTTCGTACGGACGGTGGATGGACATCCGAAGCGGGATATCCAGATGTCGATAAAGTTCTTGGCGACTGTCTCGGCATTGATGTCGACCAGGGGAGTGGCTTCGGGCCCCCTGGTCTAGCGGTCGACGCAAGTCAAGATGTACGTGAAGCCTCGGCATGATGGCAGGGGCCCACAAGATCGAGGTGAACATGGTCGAACCGTGCCGAGAGGGCACGGAATGGTCTCAAAGGTGTGACAGTGTGTCGGCTCACCTTAGAGCACTGACATTGAAGGCAGCGTCTGGCCCAACCTCGTACATCCATGTTCATTGTAGGCCACACATAGCGAGCTTTCACCAGTCGCTGCGTGGCTCGGATGCCCGGGTGGCTGATGTTGTGGATGTGGTCGAAGACCTGCCGACGAAGTGTCAATGGGACGAAAGGTCGAGGATGTCCCATGCTCCTGTCGCAGAGGATGGCACCGGTGCAGTGAGGGAGGGGAATCCGCTTCAACATTAAAGACTTCAGCGTCTCAGGGTGGTTGTTCAATTCAAAGTCGTCTTGTTGCGCGGCAGCGATGCGTTCGAAGTCTACTCCTCCAGAGGCTGCTGAAAGTGCTTCGACGCGGGAAAGAGCGTCCGCTGCTGAGTTGTCTTCTCCTTTGATGTGACGGAGATCTACCGTGAACTCTGAGATGTAGGCGAGTTGTGGGAATTTTTGGGAGCAGTAGGCTGTGTGATTTATATGAAACGCGTAAGTCAAGGGCTTATGTTCCGTTAGGACGTAAACTCGTGACCTTCCAGGATGTACCTGAATTGCCGAAGGGCAAGGTAAATGGCAAGGAATTCTCGTCCGAACGTACTATATCGCGTTTCTGCAGGTTTCAGTTTCTGAGAAAAGAAACCTAGTGTCCTCCACTGGCCGTCAAGAAGCTGCTGTAGTACAGCACCTACAGCTGTACTGGACGCGTCGGTCATGAGCCGGGTAGCAGCTTCAGTTTGTGGATGGACCAGCAGGGTTGCGTTGACCAAGGCTTCCTTCACGGCGGAAAAAGCTGATGTAACTTTATCGGTCCATTTAAGTGACGATGATGGCGATTTCTTGTTCTTCAGCAGGTCCGCCATAGGCTGTAGAATTTCGGCACAGTGGGGAATAAATCAACGGTGGAAATTTACTAGCCCGAGAAATTCGCGAAGCTTTGAAAGTAAGGTAGGTTGAGGGAACTCGCGTATTGCCCGGACTTTTTCTTGGAGTGGTAGGATGTCCGACGATGTTTTGCGGTGGCCGAGAAAGTCCAGCGCGTCGGCACCGAAAACGCACTTCTTCGCGTTGATGACGAGGCCATACTCCTGCAGCCGGTCGAACAAAAGTCGCAGATGTTGCTCGTGTTCTTCTGGAGAGGAGCTGGCCACGAGAATATCATCAACATAAGCGAAGATGAAGTGAAGGCTTCTGGTTACTTCGTTTATAAGGCGTTGGAAAGTCTGCGCGGAGTTTCGGAGGCCGAAGGGCATCCGAACGTACTCAAATAGTCGGAACGGAGTTGTGATGGCGGTTTTGGGCATATCCGCTGGCTCGACTGGAATCTGGTGGTATGCCTTAATAAGATCTACCTTGCACTAGATGTTGGTGCCAGCTAGGCCAGCGGAGAAATCGTGAATGTGTAACAAGGGGTACCGGTCAGGTACCGTGCACGTATTCAAGGCGCGATAATCTTCGCATGGCCTCCAGTCGTTTGGATCCTTCTTAGGGACCGTGTGAAGAGGCGACGCCCGATTGCTTGAGGAGGGGCGTATGATGCCAAGCTCGAGCATATGTTCGAAGTCTCTGCGTGCGATGTTTAGTCGCTCGCCGAAGAGTAGACGAGGTCTCGTAGAGACTGGAGGGCCGTTGGTAATGATGTGGTGGGTCACGGCGTGCTTGGCGGGTACCTCCGTGTTGCACGGTCGGGTTATGGCTGGGTATTCTGCGAGGATGGCTTCATATCTTGAAGACGCCGCCAAAAGGCGCATCGGAGAAGCTTGGAATGACGAAAGAATACTTTGAATGGTGAACGATATCGTAGCATCCGTGAGGCTTCTGCCCGCATGTTAACGGCCAGGCCAAAGTTCGCCAAGAAGTCCGCTCCCAGTATGGCCTCACGAAGCTCTGCAACAATGAAGACTCAGCGGAAGAGTCGTCGCAGTCCAATGTTACAGTGTTCTAGAGGGTGTAGTGGCAAGAGCGGCGCCCACTTACAATGAAGCGCGTGAAGACGGTCGATGTAGATACCGCGAGTGGCGCTGGAGTTCTGGGCCCTAGGAGAATTAATGGCATGTGTGCGATGAACGAAGAAGACGACGAGGGTGACGCGGTACGCTGCTCCAAAATGTAGTACCGTAGAACTTCTTTCGCAGCCATTAAGCCTGCAGCCCAAGTGATAGCGTTGCTGAAAGATGTGTCAGTACTGGGGGGGAGGGGGGGGAGTTGATATTAATTCAATAATCTCCCTCAAAACACGTGAATGTTTCAAGTAGAGGATAGCACACACTCCAGAGGCAGTAGTCCGAAGGCAGAACTGCAATTTACTATACTTCGTTTCACCTTATGTTGTACCGCAGCGAAGGCTAGAAGCGCGAGCTCATAGCGTTGGCAGCTGCTACTAATTCACGAGAGCGTGTGCCGCCGAGGTGTGCCCCAGAGCAAAGAGCTCGCGCTTGTCGCCTTTCCTGCGGTACATCATAAGGTGAAACAGAGTATAGAGAACAACATTAGCAGTTGTTTCGCACCGCGAAAAGCTCCAGTCAAACCACAGTAGTAAGCGCCTAACAGCGCTGATGATGGGGCTGACGGGGGCGCGCTCCTAGGGCACAGAACAGCAGCGCCATGGTGTCGTCTACGCGCAAAATCTTCACAAAGCGGCCGCCGCTCTTGCCACTACAACCCCCTCTAGAACACTGTGCCAATGTCAATGGTGAGGGATCTCTGGCCATAGGTGGCGATGGCAGAGCTGTTGACTGCTCGTAGGGGTCTAGTGCGCTGCGTCTGCTGACGGTTTAGTCGTGACGCGGGCAGGACGCTGACCTCGGCCCCAGTGTCAACCAAAAAACGTTGGCCAGAGATCTTATCCATAACGTAGAACAAGCGGCTCGGGTGTTGGCCGTAGTCGCTTGCTGCTGTTAGTGACGGGCCGTGGGGTTTTCCGACCAGGAACATGGTTGTTGGCAGCGTGTGGCACGTTCTGCATGCCGCCTGTGGTACCAGCAGAGCGATCTTTCGGCTGACCGTGAGGTGCGTCTCGAGGATGAACGAGTTTGAGACATATCCCGCCTCGTTCGTCGGGAAGGTGTCTCGTGCGACGGCCTCACAGCGGCAACAGCGCAGGATAGCTGTTCCATGCGCGCCTCTAGTCTTGAAAGGGCTGTTTGCCATGCACGCGCTTCGTGTGATGTGATTGTCGCGATGGACGGTGAAGCGTACTCAGCGGTGCGGTCCGCAAGCATCGCCAGGCGGTCTAGCGGCATGTCGTCCGCAGCTGCCAGAACCATGCGTATTGCTTGTGGAAGTTTCTGGAGAAATAGCTCTGACAGAATAGAGTCCTGGGAGCCGGAGGCTTGGGGACCGAGCAACTGCCGCATCTGGTGAAGAAGTTGAGATGGGCGGCGGTCTCCCAGCTCCTGGGCTGTGAGCAGCTGCTGGATCCTCGTGCGCTCCGAAGCTGTCGTCCGCTCGAGGAGGACGCCCTTCAGGTGGTCGTAGGCGTCGTCAGGTGGAGGCCGGGACAGAATGTCGTCCAGCTCTTCGGAAACGGCCGGAGGGAGGGAGGCGACGACATAATAGAACCGAGACAGCTGGGATATTATGCGGTGGAGATGAAACTGAGCCTCGATCTGGGTTATCCAGACTCGTGGATTTTTCGGCCAAAATGGCGGAAGCCGGAGCTGGATGCCCGTGAGGGCAGTGTCGGGAGAACAAAGTGGCGCGCCGTCGCCGGTAGTGTCACCGTCTTGCGCCAGGTTCTGCATGCTGGCTGTGGTCGTGGTACGAGACGGCGGAGGCCTTCGGATTCCGGGTCACCAGTTTGTAGAAAAGACGTCCGAGCTCCACGGTGTTCTGGCTCGAACTGTTCGTTTTTATTCTCGCGCCTCAGGAAGCTCGCGCAGCGAGTTTAGAAAAAGAAGAAAAATTATTTCATTTCTCGGAGCTCGCTCTTATATCGTTAATGTTAAATAGCAAGCAAGAGAGAGAAAGAAAGAGCAGGTTGCTGTAGATCGGACAGTTTGATACTTCAGCCCCATGTTCCAGAGAGAGAGAGAGACAAAAAATTTGTTAAAGCCAAAAAGCAGCCGCCGGATTGCAAAACAAAACAAAAAACGTGCGTATTTTTTTTCAAGGTTTATCAAAGTTTTAGGCGCTGCAGAAAATCAGCCATCTGCTTTAAGTATTTGTTTAGAGCTCTTTTTGTTCGCGCTATGCACATTAAAAACCACGGCAAAAAAGCCCAAGTGCGCACCTGATCCCGCCAAACCGTCGTCTCCTTACGTATGATAAGGTCAGTCTGCTATGGTCACGGAATATCAATGTACGCGCACACAATCCCAGCGCCTGAAGCTACAAACGCACAATCTTTCGAATATCGCCTGGTACCAACGGTACCCTCATCTAACATGTTCAACTAATGACATAGAAGCTCTCTTTCTGGAACTTTGTTATGGTGTCGTGGTGGCTGTTGTATATAGACCGCCGGATTCATCTATGTCTTTGTTCCTAAATAAAATGGAAGATATTCTTACATTTATTTCACAAAGCAGTAAGAAATCTGTCATTTGTGGTGACTTCAACATCGATTTGTGTAAAACTGTGCCCTCAGGTTATCTACTTCTAACACAGTCATTTAACTTTACGAATGTAATAACAGAACCAACAAGAGTGCCACCCGATTCATCCACGCTCATTGACCACATCTTATGTAATCAAGACGCACACGACGGTGCTGGTGTATATGAGACAAACATTGCCGGCCACTTTCCAATATTCATATTTCTACCTATAAACGCTGAAGAAACACCTCACCTTAGTACACCCCATTTAAGGTATCGCATTAATTACAAACTTCTGCATAGAAAATTATCGGCATTTAACTTTGATTTACTATTCAATTCAGATATCAACATCGAATTTGGAAATTTTATCACAGTATTAAAAACTGCAATCGCTGATTCGTCGAGTGAATTAAGAAAACCACATTATTCAGAACCGATCTGCCCCTGGATGACTCGTCAAATTTTATGCGCACTTCAAGAGAAGAACATGTGGCAGCAGAAACTGAAACGTCATAAACATAATTCTTACTACTTGGCACAATACAAAATGCATCGCAACCTATCTCTATCACTGATAAGAACGCGTAAAAAAGAATATCACTCTAAACTTATATCCGAAAGTCATGGGGACTTCAAGAAAACGTGGAATGTGATTAACTCTGTTATTAAGCCAAGATCGCAAAAGCAAACAACTCCTGTTATAGTCACGGATGAGACTGCAGACGCATTCAACTCTTTCTTCATTAATATTGGAGACCACCTAGCTAACAACATTGCCAGCGGCAGTGCACATTCCGTTTCTCTACCTGACTTCCTTCCAAAAACTTTTATTTTTGAAGAAATTACGACTATAGAAATTATAAATCTAGTTAATTCAATGTCTAATAAAAAAATCTGCAGGTTCTGATGGCATCTCGGTTAAGGTCTTAAAATGCAATATTGATGTACTTAGCTCTCCATTGGAACATATCTTTAACCATTCTATAACAGAAGGTGTATATCCAGATTCACTAAAAATCGCTAAGGTCTGCCCAATACATAAATGTGGGAACGTTAATGAACCTGTAAATTATAGGCCTATATCAGTTTTAAGCACGATTAATACACTATTCGAAAGATTAATTGTACGACGCATTAACTCATTTTTAGAAAAATACAATATTATCACCCCGCATCAACATGGATTCCGTCCAAATAAGACAACTGCTAGTGCTGTTATCTCTCTCTCTCAGAAAATAAATGAGTCCTTAAATGACAATAACAATAGTATCGGTGTATTCTTAGATATTAAAAAGGCATTTGATACCGTAGACCATAAAATTCTTCTTAATAAATTACAACGATATGGTTTCAGAGGTCACTCTTTAAATTTCTTTACAAGTTATTTGTCATCTCGTTCGCAATTCGTTTCTTTGTTAGATCATAAATCCTCGATGAGACAAATAAACACCGGAATTCCCCAGGGTTCTGTACTGGGACCGATACTTTTTTCATTGTACGTTAATGACTTACCTAACATGGCTTTAAACTCTGACACAATAATGTACGCTGATGATACCGTCTTAATTTACACGGACCATTCATTGCATAACTTACAAAACACAATCAATCAAGAACTTACAGTTCTCCAGGAGTGGTTTAATTCTAACAAATTGACTTTAAATATAAATAAAACTAAGTATATAGTTTTTCGTTCCAATAAAAAAGATGTTAATACCGACAGCTTCCGAATTTGCATCGGAAATTCAATCCTGGAAGAAGTTAGTTCATTTCAATATCTGGGAGTAACATTAGATTCTCATCTACATTGGCAACAGCACATTATAAATACATGTAAAAAGTTAACGTACGCTTGTTATGTCTTACTGAAGGCGAGACAATGCTTTGACACTCCCACGATGAAACTTATATATTTTGCTATATTTCATAGTCATTTAACATATTGTATTGAGGCCTGGGGCGTAACTTATGACACTTACCTTTTGCCATTGATTAAATTACAGAAGAGAGCCCTCAGAATCTTGACATACTCCCACTATTCCCAACCGTCTCATATCATATTTCATCAACTTCACATTTTCACATTTCTGGAAATTAAACAATATAAGATTGCTTGCTTAATAAATAATAATTTAAAATCAAACAATCCACTGCCAGCGAACATCTTAATTAAGGGTAACCGATTAACAAGGGCGAACACATCTGGTCACTTTAACATACCACGGTCTCATAACGTATACGGCGAGCGACTGATGCAATCATGCGGAACTAAAATCTGGAACACTTTACCATCTTCAGTCACCCAGTCAGGTAACTTTAACAGCGCTTTGAAATACTATATTTTTTTAAATAGAACATGTCTCCCACCATCCTGAAACTCAATCGCATATTCTGTTATTGAATTCATAAAAATTCATTTCACTTTGAATTCACTCGTGCTCCTCGTGTTTTTATTATATAATGTATAAATTACCGGATATAGTTGAACAAGTCACTTTCTACGTTTATTTTCTATTGTCTTTCTTTCTTTCTTTTTTTTTTCTTTTCCTTTTATTGTATTTCCAGTAATATTTCTTAAGAGTGCTGCCTTCCTAATATGTTATTATTAAAATGGGCCCAAACTAGCCAAAAGGCTATGGGCCCAGATGGTTCTCAATAAATTGTACGATGCAACTCATGACAATAAACTCGATTGATTGATTGATTGATTGAAACGATTGCTTGGGCTCCAAGCTGCTTCCAAGCAAACCGTGTTATGTGCAACCAGGCCTCTCTTCGCTCGGAGAACATGGGAAAAATATCTCAGGCGGGAGCGTGCAGGAAGCCTCGTCAGAGGCGCTAAGGGTTGGCTAGGCTACCGCTACCACTCTCAGCGTTCATCTCGACTACGGCACGTCCGACTTGGTCTAGGGCTGTCGCGATCACTTTAGCAGACGGCCTTCGAAACAACGTCTACTGTTGCTGACTTCAGTCGCAATGTTCGTGCGTTCGTCCACAAAGAAGACGCTTCTTTGCCATAAAGACGCTGACAATAGCAGACAGACTTTATCGCGCGGAACGAGGCAGCGAGGTGGTGCGATCACTTGCTTACTCGTGCTCTTTCGCCGTGCTTTTCAATGGTGAAACGTGAACAAAGAGGTTAAAAGTACAGACATAAACGTAGATGGCTCATTTCCTCCAGCGTCTAATAATTGTTGAGCCTTACACGAAAATTGGGTTTTTAACTTGAAATTCGGACGAATTTATTTTTGTACTTCAGCATGGTGCTAAAGTGCCAGTTCACCGAAAATTATAGATTACGACTAAAATATATGATGCCTATTTCATGAACTAAAAATGTTCAGTTATTGCCTGTAGAATTCAACGCGAAGCCAATTAATTGTAAAACGGGGATCATTGAGCAAAAGTTTAATTTCCTCGTAATGTTTCTAATAGGGTTTCGTTTTATGTGTTTTCAACCGGGCGCCGACAGAAAAATTTCAGCAGGTCAATAACTTTAGTTAAGAGGTAAATAATTGTTCCAAAAGTTTTGATTTTCCTCTCACCTTTTAGGCTTCTGAGGGAGGTTAGAAAAACTTGAATTATAAAAGAGGAGAATAAATTTATATGACAGCATCTTATTTAGTGGTCAATAGTTTTTCGTGTTTTCTGGCATTCGCATTAAAGCTGTGTCTGACTAAAAGGTATCTGTTTTCAATCTACAGACTTGGCTGCCCTCATGACGGGAGCCCAGCACCAAGGAATCTGCCAAAGGCTCCAGGATCAGAAACATGTTCAAACGACCAAGGGTTCGTAATGAGCTCAACAATGAGCGTCGGTAATCATAACAAGAATATATATCGCCTATCGAGCTGCTGTCAAGCCAATATTCGGCATGTTCTCACGTAAGACCTACTTGAAGAAGTTGCGTTTGGTTATATAATGTATCAATGAAGTAGTAACTAAAACAAAACACGACTTTTTTCACTGATTAGATTACGCCATTACCTGGTGTGGGCAAACGCTGACGTGTTTTTGAACAGGTGTTGGTCTACACATTTGTCCTTCCGGCCACAGCCCATGTCAGTGTCCACGCAATCTTATTCGTGCAACTATTTCTTTTTTTTTTTCTGCAGCAGTTGCTGTTAGTGGCCCGTTTTCCTGTTTTGCAATGGCATGGGCATAAACTAAAGGTTACCACGATAACTTTGCCGGGAAAATTAATGTCGCGTGACCTGACGTCATGAGACCTACCGACAAATTCAGGTTTCCCAAGCTCCGAAATGTTTGAAAGACAAAATGAAGGCCTCAGTCGTTAGATTTGAAACGAATTCTGAGTGTACGGCTCGTGTCACAGCACAAGTAAACAGAAATGTAGGCCTTTTCGTCTGGTCGGGCGACCTTCACCAGTAGTGGTCCAGGAAAATCTGTTTTCACCACTTCGAAGGGGGGCGGCTCAGTTAAGGCGCTCTTTCGACCACGGAGTGGTCGACGCAGTAGCTGGCTTCAGCCTTCCTCCTCGGCAAGCGTTGCAATGGTTTACCTCCACCTTGACTAGCTGGTGCACTCACAGCACCCAATAATGATCGCCGACCTCGTTCAGGATATCCTGGTCGCCACCGTCTATCGTCCGTCAGTGTGCGTCGTTGACGACGAGTTCCGTAAGGCCGCGAGATGGTGGCAAAAGCTCAGGGGGGAGTGGGGGGGGGGGGGGGGGGGTCTGACGGCCACGTCGACGTGTGCATTCTGAAGCCTCCCACCAACTCTGATCCGTCCATCCGCAACCATAAAGGGTCTCAACAATGTGACATCGTTTTTTGCACTTCGGTTCCCTCCTGTATTTGCCATTTTGATTCTGTAGGCGCTTTGTACCTTTAATATCCAGTAGTTCTCAGCTCGCCCGAGCTCCTCAGTGGCAAGTGGCCCCTCGGCCTTTTCTTGTTTGTTCCGGCTGTTCGCAATGAAACGTAAAATCCAAGCTGTGACTCGCAGGGGTCTGAGGAGGCGACTGTAGCTGCTCAGATTCAGTAGCTGCGACGTCGTCTCTTCCGCGGTGTGCAGCACGTGGTGCTCCCGACTTCGTTCCTTCAGCATCGCCGGTATGCTGTCGCGCAACACCTTTCCCTTCGGCCACTCGCCAGGTTCCGCAGAAGCCATTTGGGCCGTGCCACCAGTGTCGGCTTTCGATCAGCGCCTGAGCGCCGATTTCCTCGTGAACATGTCCGCTGGGTTTTGACTTCTCGGGCAGTGACTCCAGTTTCCTGCTTGGGGAGGGGTCGCTTTAATTTGTTTCTCATTCAGCCTGTTTCCGACGAAAGGCTTTTATTTTGATGCCTGGCCCTAATCCAATGAAGTGTAATTGTTGAGTCAATCCAGTAGAACGTCTTCACCTGCAGATTCATTGTCGTGATAAGGCAGCGGGCAAGACGTGTTCCCATCAAAGCTCCCAGCAGCTCTAGACGAGGAAGCCTCAGCCACTTCAGCAGCGCCACTCAAGACTTTGCAAGTACGAGGCTTGCAGATGTGTTCCCGTTTTGGTCCTCTACGCGTAGGTAGGCGCACGGCCCGTAGGCTAGTAAGCTTCCGTCACAAAACATGTTGAGCTGCATTGATTTGGCGCTTTCTGTCAGGCACGGCAAGTACGGCGGCCGAAAGAGAGGGTCTTCAAGCATGTGAGCCCCATACATCACTGCAGCTACTCTGTGGCAAGATCGTCAGGGAACACCATATCCCAGCCGATCTTACGTTCCCACAGCTGCTGGAATATGATCTTTACTCAAATAATGTATGGTACGACAAGGCCCATGGGGTCGAACACTTGAGCACATGCCCGTAGCACAAAACGCTTGGTTTTGGTCGCAGTGCTGACAAAAATGCAGGACATTTTTCATGAGAATCATCAGTGTGTCTGAACTGCGCTGCCATACAAGTCCGAGGACTTCGCTTGGTTCTTCGGATGCTATTTCTTCGTTCTCATCAAATGCGTTAGGTACTTAAACTGCGCTGGACGTCCACTTGCGCAGTCGCATTCCGGCCTCGGCCATGATTGCTTTCCCATCACTGTAAATCGGTCTGGCTTTACCAATTGTAGAGGCCCCGACAAGTAGGTCGTCTACGTAAAACCCACCCCGCAATCGGTCAGCTGTCTTTATGACGTGCTCTTCCGCGTTCTTCAAGTGGCGCATAAGGTTTGGGTCAGCTAGAATAGACTGGACGTGGTACCAAATGGCACTCTGGTCATTCTCCACTCTTCAACGTCTGGTGCCGCTCCTGGTGTTGGCTTCGTTTTCGTCCACGAGAACCGTAGGGCACCCCTTTCGGTGAACGCTAATCCGCGAAAACGTCTTCTCCATTTCGGCTGCGATGGCGACCTGAAATAGCCTCAATCGCACCAAAACCTGCACCATGTCGGCGTCAAACTTGGGACCCTCTTCTGTGAGCTGCATCCGGGTCCATGAGGTGATGCATAAAAGCGATCCGTAATTTCGTGGTGGTAGAGCTGCTACGTACCGTTGCTTGGTGTGGTGTGTAGTTTACTCGTTGGGAGTCAGCCATGAATTTCTGCCGTGGTGCCCTTTCAGCTTGGCCTGGCGTCATGTAGCTTCTTATGGGCCTGTCGTATTCACCCAGAAGTTGCTCGTTTTGTGATAGTCGTTGGAGAAGTACCTCCAGTCGTTTGTGAGCAACGGATCGATTGTCCTGAAGGTCTTGCCTAGTTTCTTTCCACGGCAATGCAACTTCATAACGGCCGTCCGCTTTCATGATTGTGCGTTGAATTTCGCTTCATACAGCCTCCAGTTCTGCGTTCTTCGCTTGTGACTCGCCAGTAATTCTGAGACCATCAAGCTTTCAAAAGCGACAGAGTGTCACATCGCTGCCGTCGTGTGTCTACAGGCTGATGTTCAGGACGCAGACCATCGTGTTTGCACTGCCCGACAGGGAGCAGCGCAGGGACATTGGACCCTAGAATGTCCAGCCAAAGATGGTGTCGATGGCAATCATGCTGTCATTTCTTCTAAATCGACGAACCTCGCCTCGCGTGATTCTACAAGGCTGGTCTGAACCCAGGAGAAAACTGATGCCAAGTCGGGGCTCCATACCTTAGTTCAATGTCTTGTCCGCGATGAGTCGTCCGTCAGCCTCGATACTCATTACGAAGTCATGGTCCCCTGGTACTTGCAAGATGTCTTTGCAGATGAAAGGCACCTCAATAGCCTCGAGGACACACTCCTTTCCGTCACATTGACTACGGAGGATCACCTTAACCAGCTTGTTCTTTGGAGCGTGTCGATGATTTTCCGAAGGTGGTCAACTGGAGGCTCGTAGTGCTGATCACTTTAAGATTTAGCTTTCTTGCAACGTCGGTGTGTATGAAAGTCCGCTTACTTCCTCCACAGATGACGCCGCGAAAGTAGCTAGTTGCACGATCTCCCGCGGTGAATGCTCGGAAAGTCTGCAGACGCACTCCTGAGTCCATCGTAACGTTAGAGTAAACGACGCTTGTTGTGTTGACATTGGCGTTGATATCTTTCCTTGGAGTCCGAATCTGATCACACATGAAACTTGCGTGCCTGCCACCACTTGATTTACATTTCATCTTCCGTTGGCAGTCTTTTGAGCGTGTCCTCAGGTTGTGCATCGGAAGCACTTTATATCATCCGCGAGCTGTTTTTTCCTTCTGCTTAAGCACTAGGCCACCAGGACAGGACCCTGTCAGGGCCCCGGATTCGCCCTATGTTGTACAATTTGGATGTACTCCGTGAGGAAATTCCAGTGCGCCGCCCCTTGCCTTTTGCCGTGCTCTGACACCACGTGCACGCTGGAGGCTCATGGGACGGCGAAGAGTTATCAAACATGGAAATAAATTAACTAGATATCACTGTACAACAGGTTTTACTTGAGCTAGTTGGTACATACTTGAAGATGGTCAGCTAAACCTAACGGTTTTTACTAATTTGTAATTGTTCAGCTGACCATATTCTAGATATTACTCTTAATTCCTGAACGTTGTTCCTTCGATAGCTTAGTTGGTAGAGCCGTTGACTGTGGAAGAAAACTTTCCATCCCTTAATAGGCTGTCTTCTACACGTTACTGGAAGAAAAGTAATAGAATACTGTTACAGATACTCTCGGTTAATAAGTATTGAATTATATTATTTATTTAACTTACGAAAAAGAAGTAATTGGCCGTTACATGAAAAGTACCCGTTACTTTTCCGATTGGATGAGACGTTCCAAACTACAGAATTGCCTACCGATTTGAAAACGGGTATTTTGTACCGTTTTTTACTGGAGTAGAATAGCCGAATTATAGACTGTTTATTTTCTTGATCAACCAATTTCGGTAAACAATCCTCCCGCCGAAGACATGGGTCGAGGATTCCTCGGTAGGAAACTTGTACGAACAAAAGACGCCATTAGCAAAGGAAGGGAATAAAATAGTAACCGTTAGAAGTAATTTCAATACTTCTAAATATAATCAGGTTACTCTTGTGATTACTTACTAATTACTTTAATCAAACGATTATAAAAGTACTATAAAATGTAATTGATTTCGAGTAATTTGATTACCTGTAATAGTACCCCACTAGTCTGTCCATGGGTCGCTAGTTCGAATCCGGCTCGACGGCGGATGGTATTGTGTTGATATAAACTCAGTGGCGGCAGGAGTGGTGGAGCGCGATCACGTAATTGATGACGTCATCGGGGTGTTCGCGGAGAAGGCCCATGCAATTACCTAGTGACATTCCCCACCATAGCCTCACCCTGATGTATGTACGCTATTGGTTCAGCTGGCGCTAGTGTACGGTTACAAATTGAAGCATACGGAAACCTCTCTAAAATTGACTTCCGTTAATGCATTTCTATGACAAAGGTGGGGTGCATTACGTCTTTCTGCGTTTATTATTAAATAAAATACTACAAATATTTATTTTCTCTGCAATATTTCATAACATTTCTCTGTCGTGTAGGTAAAAATAATGGGTAGTTACTGTTTTCTTTTTCAAAATAATGGTTTTAAATAGCGTGTGAAATTATCCATTTATGTACACCGACGCTGCTAGCGCAGACACGGCATCAGGGTTTTTCTGCAGGAGACTTAAGTGCCAAAGTAATGAAGAACATTTCGAAAATTAAGGCACGTCAAGAACTAAGCAATAACAATGTATCAGTACCTACCGGCGCATGTAAACGATCACAATGAAGTGAACGCCATCTAACCATCGCCATTTACAAAAAATAGCGCTCGTTTTATTTTATCTACTTATGTGTGGGTGCAAGGAATGTTCGACCTAAATTTCGTTCCATTTAAAGTCCAGACGCAGCCAACGCAAGCTGATGGAATCAATCAGAAAGCGTAAAAAGCTCATCATCATAGCGTTCGTCATGTTTTTGTGCGTGTTCTGTCACCGCTGAACCAAGCATAAACAGAAAGGCTAAGTGACTTGCGTTTTGGACGCTCCTTGGACGTCCCAGTAGCTCGTAGCGTCGGCTGCGTCTGAACTTAAGCTGAAACAATCTATAGCGCTCAATACATCATGTCTGCATGCTCCAAATATGTGTACATCGAAAACGCCGGAAACCTCTTATCGCTAGATAATTTCAGCACAGCAATAAAAGATACGCACCGAGTACTTTCACTGTCAACGTGCTTTAACCACTCGTCAATGAGGGCTATTTTATTGGCATAAAAATTCGCATGATATAAATATTAGCGTCAACGGGACGCCATGGCGCTATCTAAAAAACCTCTAGGTATTTTTAACTGTTATTTTTGCTTAGATTCGTCCCTTCCCTTTACATACTTGATGTGGAACGTATTATATGGCCCGGAATACTGGCAAGTTAAACATGGCTGTAGCAAAAGCAATTGCACTTTTATTATGCTAGATCATTTACCAAATATACGTTACAACCTAAGTAAAAAAAGTAACTTATCTTATTCCTCCGTAAAGAGACAAAGTTTACGCGCGTTTTCCCATAGGAACGCGCAGAAGCACCACAAAAGTGGACTGCTTGCTGTCTGCTTCAATTTAAAACCGGAAGTCCCATAGAGTAGACAATAGCGCCGGTTCAAGCTCTAGCGTACATTATTACTATATGGTTCCAACTAACGGCTGTCGCTGTAAGGTTGCCGCTTCGTTCACGACGCATCAAAGGTTTGCAAGTTGATGAACGAAGTTGTCCAATTTGGTCCAAATCAAATATAGCAATTATTTTCAGAGCAAATTACTACTTTGCAATGCCAGAATGTCGATGCAGTATCCATGTCTGAAGGTGCTCTAACTTAGCATGTTATTTTCTACTCAACAGCGCACAAAATAAAACATGATCTTTATATTATTTAATGTATACTTGCAGACTTGACCTATTTAAATGCCTCTTACAAGACACACACATAGTTAAGGAAGAAATCAAACTACCAGGATATTTTATAAGTGCAAACGATACTTGTAAAGAAAGGCTTAAAAAGAGGGGAGATGGCGGATATCATAATGGAGCCGATCAGGTAAGGTCGTATACACATAATTCAAAAAGAGTAATACATTAATATGTGTAACATCGAGTTTGGATAACATTCTCCTTTTAAAAGCAATAAACGTCAAGTAACTACTCACGCGACAAAGTCAATTACTGCAGTTTCTGTGTCTGAAACTGGCGCTTAGTCCGCACACATGGAGTATGCTATCCCAGATTGAAGACGAAATTAAACTAGAACACTTTGTTCAAGCTCTCAGCATATGTAAAGTTGAGGATAAACATCGATGATATCAGCACATGTTCATCAACAGTCGGGCAACTTGTCCGTTGGCTCTGTTGCTCAATAGACCTCTCACATTGCGAGAACGTCAACCTAACATAAACAGTAAAAATTTCGCCTCAGTGTCACAGCTGTCAGCAGCAAAAACTGCAGCACCTTGTGTTGGACTATGCGTGCTGCCCGATCCGTCGGATGGGAGAATTTTGTGCCAACACAATCCAGACTGCTTCAATTGTGAAGCGTTCAATCAGCAGTAGCGTACCAACTTATTTTTGAGTGGAGAGAGCAAACCAGACCCCCCCCCCCCCCCCCCCCCAGTGCCGGGGGCGGTGCCCTTGGTAATTCTTGGCCGCCGCCCTCCAGTGTTTGCTTTGCCCAGCGGTGGCTGTTTCGGGGGGGGGGGGGGGGGGGGCAAAATACATGCTTTGCCCCCCACTTTGAGAGCAGGGGGTGCGAGCGCTCCCCTTCCTAGCCCCCCCCCCCCCCCGGTTTTTACGCCCATGCCAATCCGTCATGTGTTTCTTTCTAAAAATACAGAAAGGCTGGCATTTTCTATTTAAATATTCTAGTTAACGAGATTTCAGCCTGATGTGCAGCTGAGATACTTTAATGAATGTGTACGAAATTGAGGAGAACGATTGTGAAAAATGTCACAGCGACTAAGAGTTCACATTAGAATTCCCGACAATGATCGGCCCACATATTACCAGAATAATAAAAATGGAAAGCCTGCTTATTTGTTGAACATATGTTAAACATCACCCTCAAGACTGACCGATACAAAGGTCGGACCATGAAAGCGACAGCCGGCATTAGTGATTGCTGACGCTCGACCATGGAAGCGGTCGCTGGAGGCACGTAAATTGTTTTTTAAAAACTTAAGAGCTTTTTAAAAAAATAAAGCGATCAGAAAGCACGCAGGAAAGACAAGTAGACAGCATTGAAAGTGTTTATTACACCGATTGTCGTACCGGTGAAACATCCGTCACAGTTTCATATCATTGTAGCTTAGCGCCTCGCACACAAAACAATTTGTGGCACAGTTTACGACAGTGTCTCTTACACGAGAAATTTGAATTTCAAGAATCTCAAGACGGCTTCATGCTCTGGAGTTAGAACTAGCAAATATATTGTTTTTTCGATTAGGACTAGCTGCTTCGTCAGCGAATGAAGATAATTTTAATAAAATAAGGAATGCAAAAATCCTTTTAATTTCGATCGCTACAGCCAGCCTGATTTGTGAGATCGCCCGTACTGATGTTTCGCTTTTTGATAGCGCTAACACTTTGTAGAGACATATTTCGAGCGACGACTCCTCACGCAAAGAAAGGTAAAAAAAAAGAAAGAAATGCTTTTCGTGTTGTCAGCACAAGAACCACTAAGTTAGTTGCGCTTTAAGGTGAAGAAATTCAGCCGTCTTGTGGCTTCAAATCATGGTTGCTAGTTATCTGAAGCGTTATCTGAACTCACAGGAAACGCTTTTCGTCTTTCAGAAATGTAAAAAAAGTTCGCGACAGAGCAATACAATACCCCCGAGCTTCCTAACACCGTGCCTAAAGTTGAGGAAGTCGTATTTTTTAATTGTGACGATCGGCAGTTGTGTCTGCTCTGCATTAAGCACCAAGATGGAGGCGCCCATTAGCAGATCGGGGGACGGAGTTACAATACTCTAAGCAAAAAGCATTTAGTGGCTCTAGGCATCACGTTAGCGCGGTGAGACAGAGTATTCTCCGATTGCCAGAGAACACGTTTACCGGACGACAAACACTTGTTTCTTCAGAGCTGCTATCGCCTCAATGTGGTAGGGTCGAAATAGACATGTTACCTTTGTGTTGACAAAGAAAGTTGTCCAAATTTTTTCTCAATGTGACAGTGCCATTAATAAACCTGGTGCCCTGTGCCTTCTTGATTTATTTTGTGATGGTATTTTCTTTTTCAGACGTTCGACAAATGCCCCTTTACTGACACTCGTGGCGGTGCGATGATGTTCTCTTGTTTTGCCGGTGTGTAGATAACAAAATCTTGGTATTCAACAAATGCGTTGATAAGCAACCTGTCACCTGGAGGTAAGATTGGCTCACAAAAGATCGAGAGGTCAAAAATAAATTGATCATTCCTTGAACCAATATCGACCATACGGGTAGATTGGCGGTACTTTTCCAGGATCCACTGAAAGTACGGCCGCGGTAGTGCAGCCAGCCAAGTAATTTATTTATTAATTTTGGGTTGGGAGGAAGGGCGGGGGGGTGCAGGAGTGCAAAGTGTAACGATTTGAGCTCCTTGGGTTTTGCCATGAGTCTTTGACGGCCTCTTGTGGCGTGTCCCTGGCTACGTCAATTAAACACCTTGCATCCTGATTGCCCTGTCGTACAAACCTTAACCAAAAGGCAGCCATCAACACGGATTTTAAGTAGATAGTAAGGTAGTTCTTCGCTTTTCTATGGGGAGTTCGAGCCGTCTTTAAGTTTCGTCCTCAGTCTGAACATAGCATAACATCCAGCCTTATGCTGCGGGGACTAGAGAACCACACTGTGTCTGCGTGGCGAAAAACATATCTGAAAAAGAAACTTGAGTAGAGACTTTTTAATAGTGAGCTGCGCGTTGCCAAGTTGGTATAATTGGCAGTGGAACGCGTTCAGGGCGTGCACAGTAGATCTATTTTGTAAGATATCAGACGCCGGGAACGTGTCTACACTCGAGCGACTCGATATATTTTGACTGAGTGACAATCGCTGAAAAAATGTCTGGACAGCACAAAGTGAAATATATTATCTTAAACATGCACAGCCGTACTCACCAGACGATAATAAAGTGACTGGATTTTCAGAAAGTAAAACCAAGGTTCCCATATGTTAGGAATTCTGGTTTATAGAATGAGCAGTTTGTCCTTGACCTCTCTATTTTCAGTGAGCCGATCTACATTCGCTGGTGGCGAATAGCATTATAGAGAAGTTTTTTTGTGTGCTTAGATTTTGTTATCCAGACATAGGTGACACAAGCGCACATCGTACCGCCACCAAATGCGGCTTCGGTGCTCGGAGGCATGAAAAAGAAAGTTTTCTATCGTAAAATACTCTAGAAAAACAATACATCAGTAAGAAACCTGTGGAGATAAGGATGATTTGATAGGTTGATTGCATGCACTGTGACAAATACACTTTTATTGGAGAGTAAAGCTTTCAGTACGATGTTGCTCTATAGCGATCTTGGAGCGACTGATTCAGAGCGACCCTTCGAAGTTTTGAAGATTTGAGTGTACCGAAACGGCGATCGCCATGGAGCCGGATACTGTCTTTCTGTGGCGGCCGTTGCCAGGTACGCTCGTTGGATAGCCTGTACAGTTGATTGAATAGGTAATGGCCTGGTCACCGCTGAGTTGCTACGCTCATCCGAGGAAATAATCACGATGGCCACGCCCTGCAACGTCGATGCCACCCCTTCCATGATTTTGAATTTACAGCCTATGAAGGCACTTACGCTCCACGTCGTGGTGCCCAACCAAGCCTTGTCAAGGAAGGTAATCGACGCTCTTGCCGGCATCGTCTGTCTTCCGCTTGCATAATGGTTCATCACCTTGAAGGTAACGTATTGCAGGGCGTCGTACGTACTTCCACTGCCATCACTCAGCTGGAGGCTCATTGTGAACTTTCCATTTGCGGCCAGAAGACTGCCCTCGAGTCCTGGGTTCCGCGTGTAACGGGGATTGCCTGCATGTCTCTCCCTGGATATGTGCAAGACGAATACCTCGTGCGGGCGCTAGCCCCTCACGGCAAGCTTGTGAAAATTGAACTGCCAACAGACATTGCCAGACCCACATTTTGCTATGGTCTCGAGATAGTGTGAATGAAAATGTGACCGGAAAAGCCTGTTCCAAACTTCGCTCGGATCCTGGAGCATCGAGTAACATGCGTCTACGCGGACGTCATATGAGTCTGCAGCAGGTGCAAACTGCAGGATCACTACCGCTACTCGTGTTTTATTCCTTTCTGTGTTCAATGTTCTACCTTAGGCCATGGGACAGCTGCGTACTCTGTGCTTTGTCCACGCTGTGCTGGAAACCACGCTATGGCATTCTGCATCCTCTAGAAGTCGTTCGTGGCAGTCGTGACAAAGACGTCCGTTCACATCTGCCCCAAACCCCACGGCAATGTGAGGAGTTGTCGGTACCGCTTCCGGCAAGGAACTCCGAGTCAGCCATTTTAACAGTGACGAAACAAAAATCTCTGCTCTCTGTAAAGGCTGCGCAATCCGAAAGCGGCACCGACGTTTCCTGCCAGGAGCAGCACTCGAGACGACGTTTCCCGTAAGTCAGCGGAGTTCCCTAAGACAACCGGTGACTCCACCCCAACCTTTATCGCTTCCAATACAAGCTGCACAAAAGACACGTCAAAGAAGGAAAAAACAAAATTAAGCAAAAGGAGCAAGCTCGGGTTCAGATGGCATCGATAAATTAAAGACTTTCATTATCTTTAATTCAACGGGCAGTACTCTTCTTCTTTGTGATTTTTTTCTTATTCTACGCATTGCACCTGTGATGTGCGCGGTTGAGAACCGACATCGGGCTACGGATGTTTTCGCCATGACGTGGCCCCGCGTGCCACGAGATATACCGTCGACGGCCGGAGTAAAGGCACGAGCGAAAAATAACGAAAAAAGGGAGAAGAAGAAAAGCGGTCCGAGGAGCTGGCTGACCGTTGAGTTCGTCCCGGTTCGACTAGGCCGGGAATTCAAGAATGCGGTGGCCTGGC